CTCTGCGGCCCCGGGGGTGGGCGGAGGCAGGCAGGTGGGCAGACAGGCCAGCGGACAGACAGATGCACAGACAGCTGTGTGGTTGGATGGACAGACAACGCCCAGATGGACTCCCAGATGATTGACCGGATAAAGAGATGCAGCCAGAGACAGACACACGGATGGACAGGAGGCAGACAGCCGGAGAGAGGCCGGCAAGAGAAGGCTGGTCAGACAGACCCCCGGACAGAGGCGGGTTAGAGCTGGGCAGGCAGGCTGGCAGGCGAACGGCGGGCAGTTAAGCGGGCAGGTGGGTGTGCGGACAGACGGCGCATGGCAGCCCGGCCCGGCCTTCCACAAGGGCTGCTCGGCGGGAGGGCTGCTCCAGCCTGAGCGTGGCCCTGGCCCGAGGCCAGGGGGCAGGGTGTTCATGGAGTTTTTCTTTCTCCAGGAGGAAGCAGCAGTTAACTCCCTCGCTGCCGTTCCCGCGGCCCGCCCGCCCTGGCAGCCCTGGAGGTACGCCGCCCCTCGGTCTGCCCGCGGTGCCCATCCCCCGTGCCCGAGGACGTGGTGCCTGCTGGGCCGCCCACGGCCGCCTCTGGTCCCAGCAAAGCCCACAGCAGGGCTCAGAGAGGAAGAGGACAGTGTGGAGCCCTGGTCCCCAGCCACGGCCCCTCGGCACCCCAGAGACAGAGGACACTGGGGTGTCCGGGGCACAGAGGCGAGGCTGAAGGGGGCCAGAGACAGACAGAGGGGGGACCCAAGGCCATCTCACTCAGGACCCGGGTTCAAGTCTCGCTCAGCCACAGCTTGGCTGGAAGACGGGGTGCGGACAGAGAGGGGTGGGGAGTGGTACCCAGGAGGGTGCTGGGCCCTCGAGGGGCAGGCCAGCTCAAGAGCAGCACATGCTTTTGACTGCAAGGCGCCTGTGCGGTGAGTGCAGATGGGCATGTGCCAGCCCTTGGCACCAGTACCCACCAGACCGCCCACCCCGGGGCCGCTGCCCAGGAGCTGCCTCTGTGGCCTCCAGGCCTCTGTCTCTCTGCGTCCCTGGCCCTCGACACTCCGGGTCACTCCTGTGCCAGCAGCACCTCCTCTGCTGGGCCTTCAGGGCACCCGCTGGGGAGGTGGCTGGAGGAGGAGGCACCTCCGGAGGTGCCCCCTGGACCGGGCTGTGGGCTGGACGCCCATCTACTCAGTCCCCACAGTCCCTGCGGTTCTGCCCACCCCCTTCCCGGGTCTCCTTACACCTCCGGGGCCAGCAGAGAAACTGAGGTGCAGAGAGGGGCTGGACAAGCACGCAGGAGGCTCCTGGGCCCGTTCCCACAGGCCCGTTCCCACGTGGCTCATGGGGTGGGGAGGGCTGCGGGCGCCTTCCCCCACCCGCCCCCACACCCACCCCTCACCACAGCGACATTGCTCAACCGGGAACCAAAGTTCACTCCTGGGCCAGGGCCAGCCCACCCGGAGGCAGGGGATGGTTGGGGGAGTCGGCAGGGTCAGGGGTGGGACATTCCCTTCCTCTCTCCAGCGTCCTGGTCAGGCCAAGGCGGGGGGCAGGGACCACAGAGCCAGCGCCCAGGACAGGAACGGCTGTCATGCCGGCCTAGCCAGGAGGGGCCCTGAGTGTCTGCCGGACGGTGAGGGCCGGGAGAGGATGGGAAGGAAAGAGAGGGAAGCTAAGCCTCCAGCCGCCAAAGGAGCCTCCTGCCGAGCCCCGGGGCCTGGGCGCACCCTGTCCTCATGTCGGGGCCCAGGCCTGCCCCCCACTCCCACTGGGACCACAGCCCGGGCCTCAGGCCTGTCCCCTCCCCCGAGAATGTGGTCACCGCCTTTCCTCCGGGATTAAGTGAGGGCTGAGGAGTGACTTGCACACCTGTGGACACTTTGTTGTTTTTTGTGCGTGTTTTCCTTAATATGTTTTTATTGATTTCAGAGAGGAAGGGAGAGGGAGAGAGAAATGCGAACATCAACGATGGGAGAGAATCATGGACCGGCTGCCTCCTGCAGGCCCCACCCTGGGGATCGAGCCCGCCACCGGGCCTGGGCCCTGACCGGGAATCATACCGTGACCTCCTGGCTCCTAGGTCGATGCTCCATCCCTGAGCCACACCGGCCGGGCCCTGTGGCCACTCTGGAAACACCGCTTCAGGAAGGAGCAGCAGGCTCGCCCCCGCTGGCCCCTGTGCCCTGCCCTCGGAGGCCCTGCTTGTGCTCACTGGCCCGGCGTTACCTGTCCGGTCGCGACCCCTCTGTCCGCTCCGCCTCCAGCAGCCTGTCCTGGCCCCTCACGTCAGTTACTGCAACTGTGTGTAAAGGGTGAGTTGGCAGCCCGGCTGGCGAGGCTCAGTGGGTGAGCATCGACCTATGAATCAGGAGGTCACGGTTCGATTCCCGGTCAGGGCCCAGGCCCAGGTTGTGGGCTCCGTCCCCTGTGTGGGGGGGGCAGGAGGCAGCCGGTCCATGACTCTCTCTCATCATTGATGTTCCTGTCTCTCCCTCTCCCTTCCTCTCTGAAATCAGTAAAAAAATTTACAAAAAGCCTAGTTAGCAGACCCGGAGTGAGGGGGAGGGGTTAGCAGACCCGGAGTGAGGGGGAGGGGGGTTGTGTCCTCCCAAGACCTACCCCCCCTCCGGGCTGCGTCCCCAGCCTCCCAGCCTCCAGCCCTGACCTCGGGGATCTGGGGCCTCTTCCAGTCGGTTCCCTGGGAACCGGGCTCCCTGGCCCTGAGCACGGCTTGGGCTTCATTCTGGGTTTGTGCTTGGGAAGCTCTCCCCTGGGCCCGCTCGGAACAGCATGTTTTGCTCCAGCCTCTGGCCCAATCCCACTCCCGGGGCCTCAGCTTCACCTCCGGGTGACGTCAGCGGGGCGGGTCCGACGCCCGCCAGGCCAGGAGGTACCCAGGTGGCTCCTGCCCCGTGAAAGCCAGGGCTATGGCTCCCCCTGGTGGCCAACCGTGGAAGTGCCGGGGCCCCATCCAGGGAAGGGAGGGCCTGGCCCCGGTGCTCGGGCTCAGGGTGCTGGGCAGGGGCCTGTCCTGCGCCCCCCATCACCACCCGCGGGGCTCACCAACCTCCCCTCCAGACGCCCCATGTCACACAGGACGCTGCGGCCCAGGGAATCGGGAGCCCAGCAGCACCTGGCGCCGAGGCCCCATTTATTGCACTGCTTTGCCCCTCGCGGGAGAAGCCCGTCCCCCAAGTCCCAGCCTGGCCCGCCCCGCACCCTCAGTAGCCAGCCGGCTCCCCGCCTTTCCTGGAGTCAGAGGCGGCCGCCCAGCCACCGTCCGTGCGGGCGATGGCCTGCACCACTGCGATGAAGGTGGACACCTCCTTGGTGTGGTGGTGCCGGCTCTTCAGGCCTGTGGTCACCGCCTGGGACGGGGGAGAGAGGGAGGCCTCAGCGGGGCCCAGGACGCCCTCCGGACCCCTGTGGGGTCACCCGGGTGCTGGCGTTTCTGGCCACGTGGCCAGGAGGAGCAAGCTGGGGGCCGCGGGGCCTCCTGGGTCACCATGGAGCACGTGGCCTGGCCCTCATTGCACCGGGGCTCACCGTGGCCCAGGTGGCCCTGGGCAGACTGGCTCAGTGGCTAGAGCATCGGTCTGTGGACCCAAGGGTCCCGGGTTCGATTCTAGTCAAGGGCACGTACCTTGGTTGCAGGCTCCTCCCCAGCCTGGGCCCTCGTTGGGACACGTGTGGGAGGCAACCAATCGATGTGTTTCTCTCTGTCTTTCCCTCTCTCTTCTACTCTCTCTAAAAATTGATGGAAAAATATCCTCTGGTGAAGATTTAAAAAAATAATAAAAATAAAATGAAGGCATCTTAAAAAAAAAAAAAAAGGTGGCCCTAGCTGCTTTTGCTCAGTGGATAGAGCGTCGGCCTGCGGACTGAAGGGTCCTGGGTTTGCTTCCGGTCAAGGACACATGCCCGGGTTGCTGGCTCGATCCCCAGTCGGGGGCACGCACGAGGCAGCGGATCCATGGTTCTCTCTCATCATGGATGTTTCTCTCTCTCTCTCCCTCTCCCTTCCTCTCTGAAATCAATAAAAGAAAAAAGCAGTGTAAAGTATAAAACTTATTTTAAAAAGAAAAGATGGCCGAGGTGGTGGGTGTGAAGGCCCCTGCTCCCAGCAGAGGACACCAGCCACCCTCCCTTCGCGGTGACCCAGGAGAGCCAGACCTCCTCTCGCGGTCCCCATGCCCCG